TGTCTGGGGTGGGAGGGATGGATACAGGTCCAGAGGGGTCGCAGGTTTGCTCGTGTGTTTTTTTTTTTTCTTACAGGAAAGAAAATGGGGTGGAGGAAAAAGGAAATAGCAACACATGTGTTGCCTTCACCTTGTTCTCCTCTGACTTCTCAAGCTGACATTCTCCGTGCACCTGGATATAGCTGTGGATTTAGATAACTCTCTCTCTTCCCCTCCTGACCTTTATTATGGCTGCGAAATTCTCTGCGCAAGGGATAAATAATGCATGTTTTCAGTCAAGAGACGCAAGAACTCGAGCAAACACCGCAGCGACGAGGGAGCAGCATCTGTCTCCAGAGCAGGTTTTATTTCCAACCCACTTCACCCTACCCTCTGCCCTCACCCCTGCCATCGGGCCGAAAAACTCAGAAGCAGGGAGCTAACAGAGCGCAGGGTTGGGGCTCCAGCTTGCCCTGAAAAATGTTTACAGGGTTGAGGAGTTGGCTCTGTCAGTCAAGTTCGTGTCTCAGAAAGCAGAAGATCTGAGTCCGTGTCCCCAGCGTCCATGGAAAAGACTGGGTGCACAGGAGCTGTGCTAACAGTCCCAACCTTCGGGGAGGTGGAGACAGGACGGTCCCTAGGGCTTGCTGGCCAGCCAGGCTAGCCAAACCAGCAAACTTGGGGTTCGGTGCGAGAGCCTGTCTCAGAGCAGAAAGGTGAAGAGGCATAAAAGAAGACACTTCTCTGGCCTGAACATGCACACACAGGTGCGTATACACATGAGCATGTGTGACACACACACACACACACACCCTATACACACACACACACACACACACACACACACACACACACACACACACACATGAGGGGGGATGCTTACGGTTTAAATTGTTAGTGATGTGATCTTTTTCGAATACCCTCTTTTCTCCCATCTCAGGCCTTCACTGCAGAACCCGGGTACATCTTGGCAACTCTTTACCCAAGGTTTGGCAAGTTTGTGGACGTATGTGCAAAGGAAATGTAACTACATTGTGGGGACAGACAGAAAGAAAACAGGAGGTCTATCCTGGCTAGTCATTCTGGCTCCAGACATGTGTCTGGACAGGGGCAGGAGGTAGAGTTGCTTCCTAGGGAGTCTAGCTTTACCTCTGAGCTAAGGCTTGACTTTGGATCCTCCAGGCTGACTGCTCTAGCAGCATGGGAAACAAAAGCCTCCTGGGTCACCTGTGTAGTGGGAGGCTTGCCAAATTAGAGCCCATGGCTCCTTGCCGTTTACAGCAGGGATGGAGGAAGGCACAGCCTTGAATGCCAAGTTCAGCATTTAAATCAAATTCAGAGTCAACTTTCACACAGATGCCTTCCATCCTGTTCACGTGGGCACCTGTTCTAGCTCTTATTTGTACCCGTACTTCTCTGAGGTGTGGAGGACAATGACTGTTTTCTGGTTGATGGCTTAAATAAGGACCCAGGTACTTCACCCTCAAATGTTTGGATTAGAAAATGAGATGGGAAAGAAAATGATTGTAGAGCAAAGACGCCAGCTTGGCTCCTGTGTCTGTGGGAGGAAGTTGGAGGCAGTAACAGAAATGAAGTTTGGGGACTGTTTGCTCATTTACACATTGTCTCAGACTCCCCAATTACACACCTAATTAAGAGTTGGACAATTAAACGCACAGTTTAAATGTATGATCAGGGAGTTTGGGATTAACACTCAGATCAGGGAAGAGGCACATCTGAGCCTTGGAAGAAAATATGGGAAGGACTGTTCCCATGCGGTATCTTTCAGAGCTCAAGTTGTGGCTGCTTTTCTATGGATATCTCTGTTACCTTCTCGAAATTCCTTCCAGTAACCCACATCTCCCTGTCTCTAAAACCACTAAATGTCATAAGTGGAAGAGTAAGAACGGAGAGTCCAGGAAGGGAGCCAACTGCTCACATTTGGTTTAGGACTGGCCAGGCCTGGAGGCACCCAGCTTATCTTCTTTCTCTATCCCAGCCTTGGTTCCTTTGTCGCTCTCATCCTGGGAAGCCGTGAGGATTGTTGGTGCTTGTGTGTTCACACTCGCTTGAGAAGGTGCACAGGTGTATGCAGGTCGATGTTGGATGTCTTCCTCAAGCACCCTTTACTTCTGGAGAGAGGTCTCTGTTGCAGTCAGTTTGACTCGGCTGGCCAATGAGCTCCAGGGATCTGTCTCCACCACTGTAGCACTGGGATTACAGGCATGAGCATCATCACGGGGCTTCTTATGTGGATGCTGGGAATCCTAACTAGGATCCTCGTGCATGAGGAGGAGACATCTTATAGACTGAGCCATCTCTCCAGCTCTGAGTGATGTTGTTAGTCTGACCCACCAGACAGTGGTTACAGCCATCTGTTCTTTGGCCTATGGGAAGATGATCTCGGTTAGATGTATGCCTGGCCCATCAAAGCCCCAGGATGGCTTTACTATAGACACTAAATGGATTTTTGTAATCACTGAAAGTCTTTTCCTTGCTCTTGCTTCACCAGGTGTTTCAGAATTACTAGTTTACAAAGCAAATGGGTTGAGAGGGGAATCAACCTTCTTCATGTAAAGGGCCTGTGGCTGAGCTGAATGAAAGTGAGGTAACCTGTTGGCCAGGCTGAGGAAATTAAAAGCCTTGGGGTTTTTCGTGAGAACCAGGAAAATCCTTGACTCCAGATGCGAAGGGTAGTTGGAGAACATGCTCAGGAGTTGCCCAGGGAAGCTGCATGATCAGCTTCTCTCATACTTGCTTCCCATTAGCTGTAGCCTTGCCATCTCCATGGCAACCCAGGAGCTTCATGGGTTTCATTGAACCATTGCTGGGGGAGATATGGAGGAACCAGATGGGCTAGGTAGGTACAGAGGCTGGGATGTGCGAGTCTGCAGAGTTTTATCCCTAAAGAAACTTGTAACCAGCTCGTCCCAAAAGTGGATGCAGCAGTGTAAGGAACAGCTATTTAGTTGATGACCTCAAGGTAGTGGGTACCAGTCCTGAGTCACAGGGATTCATGATGCGTCAAAGACGTCTGCACTAGATGGACTCTCTATCTCAGCTTTGTACTGTAACCTTGTGGACCCACCTCCTGGCCCTCATGACTGGCCCTCTGTGAGTTTTTCCTCAAGGCACCATCAGAGGACAGGTTGGGTGCCAGGGTCAGCGAGGAATTATACTTTTCCTTAGCTACTGGCTGAGAGACTGGGGAGGGGGGAGGAATACTAGGTACACATGCTCAGAACAGTGTCTGCTTTCTTGTTCTGCAGTTTTGACCTTTAGTTGCTTCATCAGCAAAGCAGAGGCAGGACTATAACCTCTGGTTAGTTGTTTTCCCCCATTGCCAATGAAAATACCCAGCAAAAAAAAAATGTACAGAAGAAAGACCTTATTGTAGTTCTTATTGTAGCTGTCTACCATGGTTTGGAAGGCTGGGTTACAGGAGCATGAGGCAGATGGTTCCATTATATCTGCACTCTGAAAGTAGAGCTGCTGACAGGAAGTCCAGACCTGCTGTAGAAACTTCAAGGCCCCAGTGAACCACTTCCTCTGGTGAGGCTCCACCTCCTAAATGTTCCACAACCTTCCAAAACAGCACGACCAACTAAGCACCAAGTGTTCAAACACATGAACCTATGTGAGGCATTTTGTGTTCAGACCACAGGAACTGCCTTCACTGGGCTTTCTCAGGGAATAAATGGGTGGCTGGATGGCGAACCCTTCTGACAGAGCCTTCTGACAGAAACAAGGTCATCGGCAATCAGACAGCCAGATTGTTTTCCTGCCAAGATCACCTAGATTCTTGCACTCTTCTGTCATTAGACATGAAGCTCCTTGAGGGGAGAAGTCCAGATCTGTCTAGCATCAAATCCCACAGTGCCCAGCACAGTGCCTGTAAGAGAGCTCTCCTCCCTGAGTGCTGAGGGAATAGATTCTGCATGCATGAAGTGCCTTCTTGGAAATAAATATATGAACTTCCTGCCCTTCCTGCTTACTACATCATGGCTAATCACTGCTAGAGATGAAGGTGTTGGAGACTTAATGATTTTTGAAAACTATATTCAAGGTTAAATAATGAGTCAAGCCAAGAGTATAAACTGCTGGAAGCAATTTCCTCATATTTTAACCATCGCTTGATCCTGCCCACTGTACTTATATGAATCCCAGGAAGCCCTCCCCTCCTGTGATCCTGCATCTGGACCACTCCAGTCATGGCCACATCCCTGCCATAGCTCCCTGGAAGGGAAACCAAGGTGAATAGCACAGTTTCAGCGGAAATGCCTCAGACCTTATGTATTCAATGGTTTGGCTAGAGTGTGGGGTGTTTGTCCTTGATCTCCCAAAGCCTTCACATCCCCAAATCTGCAGTGGTTCACAACTGGTGTGTGAGGGATGGAAAGGGGGACTAATTTTGAAATCTACCCTGCTCCTACTCAATGCCTGGGCTTTATCCTTCCCTAAGTGAGGAGTAATGTCTCCTAATGGGGGAGTGGAGTGGAGGTATATGCGTATGTGTTGGGAGGGGCAGGGAAGGGGTGGATTAAAGCTGTCTTTGTCTGCTCAGGGTTGCCATGCCCTTCTTACGTCCTCTCTGCCATCTTCTCAGGTGCTTAGGTTCCTCTGTTCCTCCAGGCATTCCAGAATGAGCGCTATCTAGTTAAGCAGAGTAAGTTCCACTGTACCTGGGGTGCAGTAAGGGTGCGGGGGCTCTTCCCTAGAGTGTGAGCGTCTACAAGGCAGATGCGTTCTTTTCTTTGCATCATAGTTTTAATAACTAAGCATGAGACACAGCTGCAACATTCAGGAAGATCCTCCAAGTGGCTCTGGGAAGGACAAGTTAGCTGAATTGGAAAAGGATTTCTTTAGGGTGTGGTTCCTGCTCTCCCACATGGAGGTGGTGACAGGGCTTTGCGTGTTGCTGGATGGCTCTGAATGCTATGCAGGGATCTGAATGTAGACCAACCTGCAAAGGAGTCCCGTAGCCCATCAAGGCAGAAAATGGACAAGAGGACTAACCTGATCCCAGAGACAGGGGAACAGAGTGCAGGGTAGCAGGCTCATCGGGGCTCATGGATAGAAGAGGTCAAGTGAGCTACTGTGGGATGGAGAGTGTCTCAGTCACTGGTTCCCCTCACATTCTGTATAGAGCGAAAGATGACGTCTGAGTATGCTTATTAGTGTTCTTGGGGAACCTTGTATCCTGAAATGATATTAGCAGCCCTGGTACAGTCTAGGCTTGGCAATAGTGCACCTGACCCCTGACAGTATACTTACATGAGAACATTCTTCAACTTCGGCCTCTGGTGGTGATAGGGAGCATTGCACTTAGTGTAAAGATCCTTGTTATTGAAGAGCTGGAGTGACTGGGAGGCCCTTGGATAAGCATCAAGGATGGGGAGAAGGAAAACTAAATTAAGGTCAAGAATGAAGGGGATCCTGGGATTTGTGCTAATTAGGACGCAAGCCTTGAGTGTTTCATTTAATAGTAACAAAATATATGGCTATAATGACATCCCTAATTAATAAAATGTCTCACACCAGTTACAAAGCATGCATAACACCATGCCATGCAGTCAACCATCAGTACATAATATTGAATGAAAAGGATGGCTGGCTGGATGAGGGAACAAAATTAAGGCTTGTAACCCCCACACTCTTACGGGGAACCTTGCATGTTAGGCAGCGTGTCCCTCACAAGTTGGCGAATACCCTTAGCTTTCTGCTGTATGTGATCCCTTCAGGGACCCATCTCCAACAGCAAATAAGAAACAGCATTTGACCCAGAGTCAGTTTCCAAACCCAGGCTGGCCCCTCCCCATGCCAGATGGAAGTCTTCCTTGAGCAGTCCATGGATTGCTTTGGCCGTGACTCCCACAGTGAGCGTGGTGCGGCTGAGTGTGGATACACTGAAACTGGGTCAGAAGAAGCCTTTGTAGAGGGATGCATTCTGCTTTTCTTCAGAGAGTTGGTGTGATAGTGATGGGAGATGGTACTGAGCCACAGCCAGCCATGGCTGCAGTGAGTTATGACGACCTGCTATTAGGGTGGGAAGGGGAAAAAGAAAAGCAAGCTAAAGACATGGCGTGGGAGAGAGAAAGGGGGAAAGACTGACAGTAGAGTGAGGGAAGAAGGGAGGAAAAGAGACTTGTGAACCAATGGATGTATTATTTTGCTGAAATATGAGACGCACACGGTGATTTTGCAAGGAGCTCTGCCAAAATCACACGAGGTTAATTATTTTGACCTCCATTTCCGGCTCTCACACTTGACTGAGGGCATCTTCAACTGGCAATGACACCACTGCCCTCAATAACATGTGCGCACCGACTAACGATCTCTCTGGAGCGCAGCTGTAGCTCTGGAAGCAAACAGGCTTTGCGGCAAAGGCCCCAGCGTAATTGCTGGCAGCTCCTCGTCCACTTAGGCAAGAAACACAAAGAATGCTGTTGTTGCCTTTTATTGTTTTCAAGGGCCTGAGGTTCATCTCGGAGTATCAGAGAATATGTGACCATCAGCAGCTGGTTTGTGCAGAATCCCTGGTTACACTGAGCCTTGAGGACTGTGACTGTCTTGTGCACCTGTTGCCCATGGGGCCCGGAACAGGGAAAAAAACATGGTGTTAGAATGGAAGAGACATGATGCAAGGCACATGCCACGGCTCCATTGCTTTGAAGCTTTTGTTTTCTCTTCTTAGCTTTAAGCCCATCTGATGTATAAAGCCAGTTTTTTTCAGATGCAAGCCTGCATGTTCCCTGACCTCGGTGAGCTTAACGTTAGTACACCAGTTCTGAAGGAGAGGTAGGCATGCGAACACTGTAGGCCTGACACTGTCATCATTTAAAGGGGCCTGTTTCTGAACGAGTGTTTCTGTGCAAATGAAAGACTGTGATGGGGGGGCAACTTTGAAAAATCAGGAGGCACAAATAGGGTTTGCTTTCAGTCTCACTCACTAATTCAACAAATGTTGGTTGTGCCTCCATGTAAGAGGGGCTGTTTCTGCTGGTGAGTTTCACTGTGAGCCAGAGTGGGATAGCGAGAGGACCTGGAGTTTTACCCTAGGATGGAGAAGATCAAAATTTGCCCCCACATTCAACCATTTCCTGTTCAGACAAACAAGACCCTTACGTTTCCCTGGCCACTGTATCACACACAGTAGTGGCTCTGACAGGTGTCAATTTCTGAGACCCGGGACAATCATCCACTATTTTTTAATTCTGGAAATTCCATGAAAATCACAAGCCAGAGACTTCCCTCTCATGATCCTCAGGTACTTCAACTCTCAGGGGAGGATCACAAGATCTGCGGGACTGTTGCTCCTCAAGAGAAAATGGGGTGTGAAGCAGCTGAAACTCAGGGAGCTTCTGATGGCTGCTTGTTCTGAAAGCTAAGTGTGACTCCTCTAGGAAAAAGTGGACCCTTTCTGACTAAAGTTGACACAGATTTTGTGTGATATGTACGCATGTGTGCGTGGAGGTGCACATACTTGCACATGGGTGTGGAAGCCAGAGGACAACCTTGGGGCCATTACTTCGGAGCTGTCTTGCTTTCTGAGACTCTCACCAAACTGAGACTTACCAAGTAGGCTAGGCTAGGCTGGCCAGAGAGCTCCCAGGGGTCTCCTTCTGCCTCCCAGTGCTGGGATTAGGAGCACACTCCAGCACACTCCATATGGTGCATTCATTTATTTGTTATTTTAGTGTGACTTCTAGAAATTGAACTTGGGATCCTCATGCCTATAAGCACTTTACCTACCTTCAGGGGGCATTCCCGCACAGCAGAGCAAGCATAGAATCAGAACTTTGTGACCTGGAAGACCTTTGATGCTTAGGAAGGTGTAAATGCTCATAGGAATGTTCCCACCCATCTCTGGGGTGGGGGAAGCCCCTGAAATGACCTGTGAATTTCTTTTGTCCACAGGGGCCTTAGCTGCACCTAGGCTCATGAATATTTAAATTCCCTGGCTCATTTGTCCCTGATTCTTGACTAACTTAACTCTTCCATTTTTGCATGGAGTTGAGACAGGGAACACTAGGTCAGATGGGAGGGAAGATAATAAGCCCATCAGGCTTGAGCTCTTATCAGGTGGGTCTCCTTTTGACAACAGTAGAAATTATACGGCTGCTATCTTACAGTCACCAAGTGTTTTTAATCCCAGGCTGACTTTGACCTTGCTATGTGTCCAAAGCTGACTTTGAACTTCTGATTCTCCTGCCTCAAGCACTGGAGTGCTGGGATTCCATGTGTGTTGCACCACAGCAGTGTCTGTGGTGCTGGGGGTGGAACCTTGGGCTTTATGAATGCAGGCAAGTCATCCATAGACTGAGCTATAGCCTCAGTTACCAAACTGTTTTTAGCTTATTCTCGGTGCTTTATGCATGTTGACTCATCCCAGCTCCTGTCAGTGCCTTGAGTTCAAGACTGCTGCAAGTGAGCAAATGAAGGTGAAGTCCAGCTAAGCAGCAAGCTTCCGGTAACCCAGCTGGTTTTGCTGGGTCAGGATTTGCATTCATTTCACACCATTGTTCTTGCCCCCTTTCCCATAAATTCTCAAGAGGCCTCAGAAGGCACAGGGTGCAAAGTGACTCATTGTCTCTTGACTCTTACCCGAAGCTTATCACCACAGCAGATGAGCCAGGAGTTCATTATTTCTCCTCTTTGAACGTGGGTCCCTGTATTTGTTGGGGGATCTTGAAGGGAAGAGAGCTGATCAAATGGGTATTTATATCTCTATATACAGATATTTAGAGGAGATTTATTAGACAGGCTAAGAGGCTGTGGTCCAGGTAGTCCAGCAATGACTGTCCCACAATGGAAAGGCAATGACTGGGTAGTTGTTCAATGCAGCTGACTAGATGTCCCATCAGTCCCAGTCTGGTGCTGGAGTCCTGGAATATTCCTAAAGAGCTGCTGGTCTCCAGTCTTCATTGGGATCCTGAAGAAATAGTTTCTAATGTCAGCAAAGGGATGCTTCAGCAACAAGGTAGATGAACTCGCCAGTGAGACTGAGGGCAAGCAGGCAAAAAGCAAAGCTTCCTTCCTCCATGTCCTTTTATGTAGGCTGCCACCAGAAGGCGGAGCCCCAATGTAGTGTGGGTCTTTCCACTTTAAAAAAATCAATCAAGAAAATCCCTCACAGGTATGCCCAGCTGCTTGGGGAGGGATTAGTTAATTCCAGATATAGTTAAATTGATAGCCAAGATTAACTATCACAGACTTCTTTCTGAAAAATGCACAGAATAACTGGCCAGCATCATACGTGACTGGTCTCCAGTATAGATTGATCCACTTATCTCTGTGAGATCCATCTACAAAAAGGACCCTAGAGATCATTTCAATGGCATGAAGGCCATAGAACCCACAAGTGCATACTGAGAATTATAGCTGCCCATGGAGAGTTCACCTCTTCTTCATAGGCCAGCATGCAGTGTTCCTTTAAGGGGCACCGTGAATGTTGTGTTTTTAGGTGGCAGCCTCCCCATGTTTTCCCAGCAAAGTTAATGAAATGTCGCTGGTGCTCTTCCCGCACCTCCTGTCTCTCACACAGCCAGGCTGGCAAGTCCACGTGCTCTCCTTTGATCTATTTTTATACCACCACATAATAATTCATCCTCCTAAATATATCCATCATCCTGGATTTGCATTTTTTTATTAAGTCGCCTGCCTGCCTCCCATCATTTAATCAGTGTTGACTAGACTCAGAGAGCAGCCTGACAAGATGTGGATCCAAGTCTAGCCTCTGGTAGTTTGCCTGCTCTGTAACTTGGGGTGATCTTCTCCTAGCAGTCCAGGTCTCAGTGTGCTCATTTGTAAAATGGGGGTGGGACCTGCAGGGAAAGATGGTTGTGTGACTCATGAGGGCATTGTCGTTGTCAGGGATTGCTTCTGGTGAGGGTCTATCTTCCTGTGGGCTGTGTGTGTGTGTGTGTGTGTGTGTGTGTGTGTGTGTGTGTGTGTGTGTGGTGTGTGCATGTGTATGTTTGTACATATGTGTGGAAGCCAGAGGTTAACCTTAGATGATATCATTCCTCAGGAGCCATTCACCTCATTTTTTGAGGCAGGTTTCTCACTGGCCTGGACCCTGCCAGTGCTGCTAGGCTGGATGGCCAGTGAGACTTAGGGACCCCACCTCTCTATGTCTACTAAACTCTGGGATTATAAGCCCTTGCCACCATGCCCAGCTCTTTATTTGTGTTCTGGGGGCTAGAACTTGGATCCTCAACCTTGTACGGTGAGACCAATTTAACTGTCTACCCTGAGCTCTCCTCACTGAGCATCCTCTGGCAAGGCAGGAAGGAGCACAACATGATTGTAGGCTGTGAAAAGAGATCGACCCTGCCCAGCCCTTCCAAGATGACGCCTTGGACCCGGATTTAATTTACCTGTACCTTAGTTAGAGAAGGGACAACTGTGTACTGTGGATAATAATTATACACACAGCCCCGGGCTATGTGAGGGTTCATTTTCTCAGTGGTTTCCCAGCTGGTGGTGATGTTGCCTCCAGTGAACACTTTTTTTATTGGTGTAACTGGGGCACTGGGATATGAGCGCTGTTCTCTTCTGCAGCAGGAGAGGTGCTGTGAAACTCCTCACAATATTTCCAGTATCCCCCACAGCATAGACTTAGCTGGGCCAGAGTATCAACGGAGCTGAGGTAGGGAGATTATCACCGACTGGCAGGATACAAATAGACACTTAGCGCAGCTATTGGCACCTGAGTGTCAACCTTGAATGGAGCTGGTGATGTCTGGACACAGTGACAGAACACTCTGCTGCCACTCACAGTACTGGGATTCGGGAGGGCAGATGTTCGTTTGAGTCCCTTCACTCTTGCTTATGTACAGCTCTAACACACACCTGTGCTCAAGTGTGATAGTCTGGTTTGCTTACCCAACTGGCAGTGGGTACACATGCAAAGCATTTGCCCGACTCCTCTCGTCTCTCACTGTTTAGTTTTATGGCTACACAAGGGTCATGTTCCATCACCCTCACTGAAATCAGTCCTATCACAGAGGTGGCTGGCAGCTTGGTTTCATGGGGTGGTGAAAATACATAGATGTAGGAACACACTGAAAACAAAAGAGTGGCCATCTCTGGGTCAGACCCTGTGAGAATGACTATTCTCAGAATCACTCAAGGCCATCCCCAAATATCTGCAAGAGCCTGCGGGCATCCTGTCACCCCTGGGTTTGTCATGGGAGGAAACAGGACTTCACCTAGATACAGGTGAAAGCTGGACTAGGGTTTGCAAACACATCTCGAGGAGTGTTACGTCCCAGCAGAGCGCTTGATACACCCACATTGCTTTGTAAGGTGTGAATGTCCAGAGCAAAGTTTCCCCACCCACTTCAGTTACCCTTGAAAATGGCTGTGAGAGAAGAAACCTTTGTTCTCATCCCCTGGCCCCCAGATGTACCTTGATTTCTGAATGTTTAAATCCCACCACCCTCTGATCTCATGTTTGTACTGGATCTGTGACTATGCACTGCCCCTGTGCCCACCCCCCATTCTGCATGGAGGTAGGGTGGGGAACAAAGAGAGTCCTCAGGCACACTGGGTGGAGCTCATCCTCCAGGTCCTCCTTTCACAATGGTAGTGACTACAATGGCGGTGGTGCTGACGCATCTTCCAGGGACTGAACTTTAGTTAGATACTTAGCACTTTTCCCACCTTAGCTGCTTATCCCTCATGTCAGTCCTCTGAGGTTAGGGCTGTTACTGCTCCTATCTTACAGAGGAGCAAAGCAAGGCCTCAGGTAATATAACCAGTGTGTGTTGGATGTGAACCCATTGATTTCTGCCCCCCAGCCTCTGACCCTCATCCACACACTCCAGGCCTCTAAGGGCACAGGGATGCAGCATGAGCCAGCCAACTTGGACTCTTACCTGAAGTTCATCCCCACACCAGTGTTGGGACTGTGGTCACTTTACCTTGTTCCTTTAAGCCTGGCCTACTTGTTTGTAGAAAGGGCAGAATGTGTGCATGACCTTGGAATATACACCTCCTGATGCACATGGATCCCTTTTCTCCATGGGATCTGACCTGCAGAGAACAGAGCAGCATGTCTCAATGACACATCTTCCAAAAGCCACAGCCTCCTCGTGTACGCAGTGTATTGGACAATGAGGTGATGTCCTTTACTCCCTGGTCTCTTTCCACACTGCTCAGGCAAAGGGTTCAAACCAAAATTAGTAAGCTGTAAAGCCTTCCTAGCTTGATTTCTTCATCAGACATGAAGGAAGGGGACACACACATACACACACACACACACACACACACACACACACACACCACACCACATCACATGCATCTATCTGTGCCCAGGGGCGGGGCAGGATGGTTGTTTCACTCTCAGGACTCCACCAGAGCTCCTTAACCATGGCTTCTCATATTGTGACAGACCCAGGGACACCATGGAAAGGACCGTGTAGTCTTTGGCCTGGTCCTGGAGCTGGCTCGGACCTCCATCTCCAGTCTTCTCCCTCCCCATCGCTTCTTATTGATCTCATAGGATTCCCCTCCTTAGAGCCGTGTCCTCTTGTCATGGCTAGTCCCCAGAGAGTCTCAAATCAAAGCCCTGGGGAGCATGTGTGGGTGGGGGTGAGTAGGGCAGCAGTAGAGGGCAAACAACCCGGAGTCTGGAGCGAGGAAATCAGGATTGGAGCTTAGAATCCTCTAACTCTCCGAGCCTCCCATTCCTTCAGCCTTGGGAGTCAGCTGTGATAAAGTCCACTTGAGAGTGTCACATCAAGGATGAACAGAAAGAGATATCAGCCAGTGTCTCACCCAAGAGGTAAAAAATCCTCACAAAAATAGAGATCGTGCTTTTGGTTTTTTGGTTGTTTTTTATTTTTTATTTTTTTTTTTTTGATATGCTTTGCTTTGTTTTGTCTCTATCTTTTGGAGCCTCCCAGCTGTCCAGGTGGTACATAGATGCCATGGCCCCTGGTAGCATCTACACGTTACCGTGTTATGAGTTTGGAATGGGAATCACGCGGATGGACAGAAAAGGCTGAACAGAGATGCATTTCTCCTTTCTCTCTCTCAGCCCTGATCTCTGCTTTTTAAAATTCCCATTTCACTGTGCTGGTTTCACTTGGCAGTTTGAAAGAACTAGAGAATAAATGAATCGAATTGAAACAAATACACAACAGACACACAGAGGCTGCAGGGCGGTCAGCCAATGCGCGCAGGTATGTGGTGCGTTCTGGCTTCGGCATGCTGGCGGGCTTTTAAGAGTGGAGAGTGATGAAAAGGCAGGCAGGGTGGGGCAAGGGTGCAGGCAAGGAGGTAGGTGAGGTGCTCAGAGTCCTGCAGTCACCTCCGGCAAAGGAGGATGCTCAGCATAGGCTGCAACCCCGCATGCAGAACACAAGGGGGAGAGGCAGCTCCACTCAGAGCACAGAGGCTGACTCCACACCACCTCTCCGCGCCACACAAAGCCGGCTCACCTATGGCCAACGTGGTACTAATAAAGTTTTTTGTTGAAAGCCTGCTATGGACGGTTGACTTCAGACCTGTCTGTGCCTTTTCCTGCTTGTGTGTGAAGCAATTGGCTCCAGGGACTGAGTGACCCAGAGAAAACAAATAATAGCCGTGGTTCCTTTCTTCTGCTTTCTTCCCAGGGGACAGAAGGGCAGAGGCAGATGAGAAGAGGACTTTTACAAAGAGTGTGAAGGAAGGATGCTTTGAGACACAAGCCACAGAGTGGGCAGCAAAGGGTGGGCTGGACTCTCAGTCTCTCGATGAAGGAAAATGACTTGAAATTGGATGAGCATCCAGAGCCTCCTGGTGCCCTTCCTACTGCTGGGGCTTGCTTTATTTATGTGAGTGAGGATACTTATATGTCATCTTTAAGCAGGCGATCTAGATTAAAGGCTTTCAGGATCAAAGTGGCTGTGGTCAGACATGGCCCAAAAGCCTCCTCTGAGACTAGTTGGAGAGGAAGTCAGTCCACTCATGAGACTTGGGTTACGGGGAGATGTGTCTCGTTAAAGTAAACAAAATCAGTGTTAAAGATACTAATTCCATACTACAAGGCAAGGATGCATTATAAACTGACTTTTGGTTAATCAAAAATTGCCTGAAGGGCAAGGCACAATTTGAAGTTGTGAATTGCATGGCTGTTTTCACAGAAGCTGGCATTTATTGAACACCTACTGTTTGTTTTTGCTATCACCATCCTGTGGCTGGGGTATGGGGAGAGGTGAAGAGGATCTTGTGACAAGCCTTGACTGACCATTCATACATGTAGGGTGCAGAGAAGGTGAATTTGCTCCTGAGGTGGCAGATAGGTAGCTCCAGTTCCTCTCTAGCCCCAGCTGTCATGTGCACAGACAAGAAAGGAAGCAATAACTGGTCTGCAGGGCCTGACATCAGGCGTTTCTGGTTCCAGTATGGAACTGGGGCATGTCCAGTAAGGGACAGAGTTGGGGGCAGAGGGACCTTTACCTTCCTCAGGACAGGTCCCAGGTCCCTAGGGATGGAAGAGTCCCCATGTCTGTAGCTTCCACAGTAGAGATGAACAAATTCAGTCATATGTCCATGGATTCACGGATTCCTATAGCCTCCTCCAAGACTCAGGCCCCAACTAGCCAGACAGGTTGTCTTTCCTCATATGGGGACAGGGTAGGAGTTCACACTCCAGTAAGCATAACAGATACTTGACAGGGAGATGAGACAAATCACCACAAATCATTAATACAGAGAAGAGGGGAAGGGTGCACTGGGGTAGACAGAGAGTGGAGGTGGAGATGGAGGTGGGGCAGGCAGCCAAGGCTCCTCTGGGGCGATGTCGGAGAGGAAGCAAGCTGGCAGGCTCTTTCCAGGCAGAGGGAGATGCAGCATGCAAGGCCACAGAGCAGTTTGGCAGGGTTGGCAAACAGGAAGAGCCTCTCTGGGGCCCAGCACGGCTGGTCGTGGGTGATGTCTCAAGCTGCCTCTCACCACCTACAAGGGCAGCCAGGCTCACAGGGCCTCAGCCCCCACAGACCCTGAACCCGTGGAAGCCACCTGGGAGGGGAAGATGGCAGGAATCCGTACATCTGACAAGTACCAGGTGATCCCCAGTGCCCCTGTCCCTACCCCCATCTTACTCCAGCAGATGGTGACATGGGGTTAATGACCAGAATCCCAGATTCCAGCTCATTTTTATCCCATTAACTGGGCATTTATGATTTGGTCAAGGCCCAGTGTCAAAGTGCAGCAACAGCAGAACCAGCAACAGGAAGCCCAGGAATGAGTTAGCACAAATAACCCAGAGATGTTCTATGAGTTCCTGAAGGCCACACAGCAAATTAAGTCTATCCCAGGGTCATGCCAATTTGCAACTGAGTCCCATGGGTCCAATCTTGAAAACAGGCTTCTGCAGTTTTTTGGTTTTTTTTTTACCTGGAGAGCAAACAATAGGTAAGATTTTCAGAAGTGACTCATTAGGAGCTGCAGAGATGTCTCGTCCATTAAGAACGTTGGATGCTCTTCCAGAAGACCTGGATTCGATTCCAAGCACCCACATGGGGGTTCACGGCTGTCTGTAACTCCAGTCCTAGGGGAATCTAATGCCTTCTTATTGCTTCCAAGGACACCAGACGTGCACATGATGCACAGACATACAACCAGGCAAAACATCCATACACATAAAAATGAATAAATAAATAAAAGAAATGACTCATTAAATGCACCTCTTTGCTCCATGTCCCTTCCCGGTTTGCCCTTTATAGAGAATTACTGCTAAAATTTCAGAGAAGAAAGGAAAGAATTAAGACTGGTTACTGTAAGAGCTGTGTGCTTATAAACCAGTCTGCAGCAGGGCCACGCTTGGGTTAACCTTTTTCACTGCAATGAGGAACCAGGAGGAAAAGTTGTTCAAGGAAGCCATGGGGGTTTGAAATAATTCCATCTGCATGTTAGAAAAGGATGCACTTTTTTTTTTTTTCTAATTAGGAGTGATGGCAGTAGCTGCCAGTATCTAGTACACATTAAGTAGCAAATTAGCTTTGGGGCTGATTGTAGAGCCCACCCTGTCTAACTCTGTCTGCCATTCTCTTTAGAGGCAAGAGGAGACTGCATTCTGCCCTGGGGCCTCCAGGGCATTTAAGGCAGGCCCTAGGGTCCCCAAGGTTGAAAGAGAGCGCCCCCTCCTGGCACCTCAGCAAAAACAGAAATTCGTAAATACTTCCATTTATTTGTTCTTAAGCAAAGAGATTTGCTGTATCAAAATTCTGGGCACATGGGCTAACAGGGGGTTAAGTTGCCTAATTTTCACATGAATTTGCCTGGAGGTTTTTTGTTGTTGTTGTTTTGTTTTTTTAATGATTAGTAGTGCAATGCATAAAAAAAGACCATAATTATACACAATTAGGGCAGTGCCTAAAAAACTGAGCCAAGTAGACCCCTTCTAAACCTGATGCCTGTGCCCTCTGCATATGCCCCAGAGCTAAGTAAAAGATACTGGGAATCTGACTGATGCTGCAAATGTTTAACCAACTGAATGCTACAAAAACATTTTTAAGGATCAGACAATATCGAATGTTTGTATGTAAACCACAGTGTTAATTGCAGGAGAGTCTTACCAGCTAAAGAGGGCCTTAAGAAGAGCCACACAGGGACATTTTATTAGCCATTGGGTAGAGTAACTAGCTCTGACAGAGAATGGTACAGTACAACAGTATCTCTTGAAAAACACTGTCCATCTCTGGCCCCTCTGTTCAGTGCTAGCACCATGCTGGTCTGCATTGATGTCGGATGCAGGTCTGTGGACTATGTCTTCCAGCTCAGACCTCCAAGAGTTTGACTATCGACTGTTCTAGTTTTCAGCAGTGGTACCATGGACCAAGTAGCCTTTCTCTCTATCTTCAGATTCTTCTGTGAAGTGGGTTCAGTGGTGCTCTTGGCATTTGACAGGTCCGTGAGACACCCAGCACAGACCCAGCACAGAGCCCGGTGACTTGCAATGAAAGCCATCATTAGGGTCTTTTATTTTCTGGTCCTGAAGTGCCTAGCCTGTGTGCAAGAGTCCTGAAGGTCCTGAGGTCATCTTTGGGCTGTAGACAGGAAGCAGATGAGAAGGCAAAGTTGTGCTTGACCTTGGCCTTTCAGATATGCAGTGCCTGAGGCAAATCACATCTCTGAGAGCTTCACATAGTTTCCCAGTTACCTGGAAGAGCGCATCAACATCAACAAAGCACCTTCTCCCAGCATTCATCAAGAGCATTAATTGCTACGTGTCTAAATTGTACAAAGGCTTCTCTTTTTCTCTGGCATTCCAAAGCCCCACCTTCTTGAAGGAGGGGAATGAAAGTTCAGAGTTTAGGCGCTTTCTCCAAGGTCACAGTGCAGAAGGAGGCAGAGCAGATGGGAGATGCAAACTGAGGTCCCACACAGTACCTTGCCCTGGCATGCTTGTGAGCCTCCAATCCAATATGGAGATGAGGAGCCGTGAATGGGCTTACATGGGGCTGCAGTGATGAGATCTTCTCTAGGCTCCATCTCTGCACATATGAGAAGATGTGTCTGGACAGAGGGAACCTGACTCCAGGAGAAGAAGAGGGGAGGTGACAGAGCACAGCATGGGCGATGGTGGGTGGCCAGGGGACAGAATGTAGCAGAAATTGTATTACATGGTTTCCAGCTGGGCACAGCTGACAGCAGAGTCTACCATCAGAGAGGTGGCACGAGACCCGGGTACCTGTCTCTGTCTTCACTTCCCTGAGCCTTGAGGCAACAATAGTAGGACACGTGTTTCATTCATCCTGTTTTCTCCCAACCGGCAAAGTGTTTGGAACGACGCAGTTCAAGGGGCACACACTTACTAATGAGACTGGTGAGCCAAAGGCTGGTGAGAAGAAGCAGCGAATCTTCTTCATGAGAACCTTCCCTTGTGAAAAAAAGGGCAACAGGGGTGTCACGTGAGCCAGAGAAGGCAGGGAGGGGATCTGCACAGGTGAGGGAGTGGTCTGTGTGTGAGACAGAGAGAACATGGGAGTCGGGGGCGGGGGGCGAGAAATCCCTTCCTAAATTTGAGATGGAGAAATTTGGATCTGCTTTTTACAACCTGTTTCAGAGGCGAACATCCCCAGGATGAAGTCTCAGCTCCCACCTCACTGGCTGTGTGATCTGGATGCAGCATTCATTGTTGCAGGCCTGAGTTGCCTCTTCAGTAGGATGGGGGATAAAATCCAGAATATTCACCTGCCCAGGTAGTTGAGAGAGGTATGTGGGCCAATTCTGCATCTCACACAGGCGCTGAGGCATGGAAAATCCAGACTGATTTTGGTCCTCTTGGTTTCCAAGCCTGTGTCCTGTTGAGGCCAGGACTCTGGGCTAGCCAAGGCACAAGGCCCCTCAGTCTTCTCCATTTGTCCACTTGTCATGTCACCCGGATTGACAAACTGCCAAGGCCCCATGTATCACCTCAGCATGCTTTCTGGGAACTGTCTCCATGGGTCTGACTTAGCAGGAGACTGGATAGGACAGGAGAAGATTTCAGAATGGCCATCAGCCTAGAAGAATGTGATCTCAGTCACCCTTTCCTCCACCTTCTTAAGCCTGGCATGCCATGGAGACACCAGCTTGGCTCTCCAAGAAGACACTTGCCTCCCTGTGGCTCTATCCCAGCTTGGCTGAGTGGCTCAGTTGGCTACTCTAACTTTCAATTCCTTTCACCCTGATGAGAATTTATCCCTGATTCAATAGATGCCAGCCACTTGATCTCTCTGGCAAGGGGCAGGCAGGCAAGCCACACCTATCAGCCAGCAGGGGTCTGATTTACAAGGGATTTTCAGGAAGCAGGAGGTAGGAGGCTGAGAGCCCATTCTCTCTCACCTACAGCTCCAGCTGTGATTCCATCTGGCAAATCCTGGGACAGAACACACACACACACACACACACACACACACACACACACACACACACAGAGAGAGAGAGAGAGAGAGAGAGAGAGAGAGTAGATTTATGTGCAGAAGTTTTCATTTAA